GGGGGAGCGGCCCCGGCCCCGCCCGCCGGATAAAGCCCTGGGCGGCGCGCGCGCGGCGGGCAGAGCGCGGCGGGCCGGGGGCGGAGAGCCCTTCACGGCTGTCGGCGCGTTCCCTCTCCGCCTCCCTCTGCGAGAGTCTGGTGCCGGCGGCGGCAGTGACGGGGGGCATGCGGGGCCGCGGGGCGCCGCGCCGCAGCGGCGGCGGCGAGCACATGGCATAGCCGGGGGACGGCGGCGAGCGCCGGGCCGGCGTCACAGCGGGTCCGGCGGGGCGAGCGCGGCTCCCTGCATGTGGGAAGTGAGGAGGCGAGCCAGGGACCCCGGCGGCACCGGCGAGCACCCGGCGGCGCGGTCCTGAGCCGCCCGCCCGCCATGGATTGCAGCCTCCTGCGGACTCTCGTGAGCCGATACGTGAGTACCGCCGGTGCCGCTCGCCCCCCGCCGTGGGGGGGAGCCCCCGCCGTGGCCCCGGGCTCGCAGAAAGGGCTCGGTCAGGAGTTGGGCGGTCCCGTGACCGGCCGGGGAGCCGCGGGGCCGCCGCACGTGATGCCCGGTGCGAGCGGGGATGCAGCAGCGGCGGCGGCACCGGGTGTCGTGCGCTCCCGCAGCCCGCCCGCCCCGCGGGACTGTCCTTCGCCGAACCACAGCTGCTTGACCTAAGTTCAGCGCGCTSTCATTTACAGGGTGATACGCAGTTAGCAGGGCAGATAAAACCTGGGTTTTTTTTTTTCTTGTAGGTTTCTTTTTAGATTGTTCTTTCCCTTCGTTATATTGTTTCAGTCAGGCGGCGTTTTTGTGGAATTGTCCAATTTAAGTATACCGACGAATGGTCGCAGCGGTCCCAAGTTTTTGTAGGTCTGTGTAGTAAGATTCAAACGCGCCAGACTTGAGAGTGCTCCGGGGAAAGAGGGCTGATGTCGCTTGTTGGTGAGCAYGGGAAAACCCACCCGCACCGCCCGGGAGAGCAGCTTGGCAGCGTATTAGAGGAGGGGTCCAAGTGTAGGCTGAGGTGCGTCAGTGAGTGCGACTCCAGTTCCATGGAACCCCTAATAAACACTCAGGATAATGGTTTAAGCAGATTAGCAGAATGCTTTTAAGTGTGGGGTTGTACAATACAAGGCATGGCGAGCCAGGAAATTGCAAATTTCTGCTTTTGGGTATAAAAGTAATTTTTAACAGATAGGGAGAGGTAATTGGGATTTTCAAATACAAATAGCTCTTTTCTTATGCAGGAAKTATTTTTGCCTTGGTCAGAACACTCAAGTTTTCTCACTTACAGTAAATACACTTAGTTTTGTGTGTGCCAAGAGCTGTGTCCACCTAATACAGTCTGAAGTCTGTCTTTTTGAGGTATAAACAAAGAAAAGTAGCGGAGGTGAAAAATGGCTGTACTTTTTCATCTCGTTTACAAACGAATATATGTGGGATGGGGAGAGAGTGGAGAGGTGGATATTGAAAGCAGCTATGTGTATATRGATCTTCAGAAAGTGGTCCTTAGGGAAGGAAGAGAATACTCAATGTGTAGTAACAATAATAACAAGGTATAAGACAAGCAGAAGTCTCTGGATATAGATGAGTTGAGTTGTGCTGAGGTCAGTTTGGAAGCACATAGCGGTACTATGCATGTAGAGATCTGTCAGTGCTGATCTAACTGTTGGATTTAGTTTAAGATTTTTTTTTTTTCGTGTGTGCTCCCATCTGGAGCATGTTCATTGTGCACAGAGCAAGCACACTGTTAAATCTCTTCTGCATAGCATTGTTGCTAACCTTTTCCAAAGTAGGCTTAAGCACCAGCTATGAAGGAAATGGGCTCGAGAGCAGCTGCAGTAAATATCCAGAAGACAGTATATTGAAAGTAAGGGGCTTGAGCTTTTAAGTTGTGGGCTGTCACCACCCTCCTGCACAGCTTATGAGACTTAAGGCAGCAATCTAAAAGATAAAGGAAAATTATTATATCCCATGTGAAGAAGGGTTCCTATTTCTGTATGTAAGAGTTCCTATTTCCTGGGTCACACAAGTTTCTGTATGGTGTGTACGCCGATCGGGTAATTGCCCACTTTGGTCTGTGCTACCTTGTGTATTTTCACCTGTTGCTTTTTGTTCTTTTTCATTCCCTCAGTGTCTTAACTTTGAAACCTTTCTTCCATGGAGAGGTAGTTTTGAGGAAAAGGTGCTGTAAGTAAATTTGTGTTCAATTCAGCAAGACCATTAAGGTCCCACAACCTGATGGCTGTGTCATGTGTTTTTTTCATCTTTTACTTTTTTGTATCTCCATGGTTCAACTGCTTCTGTACAGCTAGAGCAGCGAAAATGAAAAGTAGTAATTTAAATACTGGGTCTGAAGCTGACTGCTGTGCGTGAGTAGCAGATGTACATGTCAGGGGTATCACTTAGAGCTGTTCACTAAAGTCCTGTATGCACCAGCCAGGCACACAGATGTAGATGTGCCTGCCAYTTTCCAAACTGCTTTTTAACAAGGGAGACAAAGCAGTGACTCTTGTGTGGAAGAGCTGGAGTGGATACTTTCATCTTATGTTTGTTCCAAAGTAAGCTCAAGCTTAGGTTTAGTCAAAATCTAAAAGCTTTTCCATGATCAACGTCTTAGAACTACGAATTTTTGTTGTGCGAGTCTTCTGGACTTGTTCAGTTGCAGATCCTTCCTGGAGAAGGCTGGTCTCTGGATTATGCTCAGAACTTCGGCTGATGCGTCTGGAGATGTTGGATTAGCTGGGTGCTCTTATGGTAGGATCTTGGGAAAACAGYTGTCATGTGATGTACCAATGGAGGCTTCTAATAGGATGGTTTCTAACAGTTCCATGCCATTGCTTTTCTTTCTTGGTCCTGTTTGTTGTAGGACATAAAGGCATAAATACAAACAAAGGTTTTGTTGTGATGAAGATCCCTCCCATTGCTCTTTTCTTTACGGTACAACTGCTGTCCTGAAGCAGTGCAAAATCAGCGTACCTATTTCCAAAGCCCTATAGAAGTATAGCGATGACTGGGTGCTGTCAGCTTCCTGGTTAGCATTTTCAAGTATTTGTCTGCTGTTTTACCTGCCTGGAGTGTACTTTTTATATCTTCTTGGCATTGAAGGGTTTAGTGATGTRGGTTGAATAAAATACATGTTCAGCATGCTAGTCATAGTGTATTTCATATCTTTTCACCAAGAGCTGATGTAGTCTCTTAGAAGGATGGACAGAATTGTCTTTATCTTAATAATTTTTTTTAATTGACAATCTTTTGTTCTGCCTCTTTAGATCATTCTGCAAATTTTGGGGTTTTTTTTCACTTCACCTCTTGCTTCCTGTAACCATTACTGCAGCCATACACCATTTACAGGACTGATGGTGAACAATAACTTTTTTTATAGAAAAGGTGTTTTTTTCACTGTAGTACAGCTGACATGAAGTTCAGTGTAGTTTTCCAAGTCCTTTGTGGTCCTTCAAGCTCATTACAGCATTGTGTCTAATGAGGTTATTCTGTGTATTTTACTGCTTTAAAATGTGTATGAGCTGTATTAGAGGCATCTTTAAGTCACAAAATAGAAGCACCATTAAATACAGCTTTTCTTCCACGTGGAATCACAGGAACTAAGTCCTCCACATTAAGATAAACRAGATGAATTTTGACACCAAACTTATTATTTCCCAAATGATGGAAATAATGGCTATGTGTGGGTAGTATGAACCTTACTTTTGGGGGACTATACTTTTTGTCACATACTGTATAAAAATACAACTTTTTTTCTGGCTGTTGGTTTTGCATCAGACAGCATGCTTCTGTCTTTCCCTTGGATTCCCCAGAGGATGTGTGCTACCTCAGGGAGGGCAGCTCAACAGCCAGAGAATACAGAATTAGCATGGGCTGCTCTGTAAGAGTCATGCAGAACCTGCTGTGTGCTTAGTAACAGGAGAAGCAAGAGAAATTTGTTAGCTTAATACTAAKCAGTACACTGTTTAGGGAAAAAGCAAGCATACAATGGCAATTAAAACTGCCTCCATACAAGATCAACTTCTGTTTAATAGTTAAAGTATTTGTGAGATTGTGGATGGCATTAAGTTATCTCTTCTGCCTGTGTTTAGTGCAGCTGCTTTAGTTTGATAACTTATTTTTTGCTGGTCTTAGGACTTCCRAAATCTGTCCTTCTTGCAGTCAAAAGTTGGTTAATAATATTTAAACGAGTTTTGGTGACATCTTTCACAGAATGAGCACTTTCCTTAAAACAAGTGCATATGGYTTTTGTGTGTTTACCGTAGCTGTTTATGGCTGAACATGGATTTGGATATGCCTGTATATTGTTGATTTAAATAYATCTGAGCAATCTGGGAAGATGTTGCTCTTCAGTATAGGCCTGTGTGGACACTAAAGGGTTGCTAAACATCTTGCAGCCTATGGTGACAGTCTGTTCTGTATTTGTAAGACAGCTGGCCCTCATCACTAAAAGCTCCTGCCCAGGTTGATGGCTTTGGTTTGTACAGTAAATGCTACTGGGTCATAGGTCTGTGTTACTGAAGAGTTTTGCCTGTATTATGTAGTATGTTTAGAAATCTTGCTACTTTACTGCTTCTCCTCTTTCAGGTTCTCCTGTTACTTCAGGATTACAAATCTGGATTTTAAGTATTTGTTACCTGTGTAAATATCTCTAAATGCATGTAGTAGTAGGTAAGACGTGTTTCCAGAAGGAACAGTGATTTACTACAGCCTTGGTCTCTGGGGAGTTGCTGGCCTATTAGTTGTGCAGGTATTTCTGAAAAGTCTTTTTTTTGGGAGGCTGGAATAAATTGAGTTTACAAATGCGTGCTCTATTTTTCAGTTTTGTAGAAGTTGGTCAACTTTAATTGTAGTTTGGGAAGATGTTTGACTAGCCTAACCAGGAAGTTATATTAGGGATTTTTAGCAAGTGCATAACTAAGTGTCACGATAGCCTGTGGCTTTTGGTCATTAACTTAAATGATTTTGGTTTTGATTTGCACTACAATTCTAAAACTGTTTTCTAATTAGATTTTCTAAGTATTTTACTTCTGTATGTCGTCTTAGTAGACATAAATGAGTATTAAACTTTATTTATTTATCTTTGATTGCAGTAGAGGTTGATAACTGCTTTGACCTGAAAGCTGGTGAAATTGTAAGCCTTGGTGCTTTATAGTTATTTGCTTTTATAGTGTTATTTTAATGTCTTAAAAGACAATTGCAAGTGTTTCAGATGACCTGTTGTTTTTAATTTAAATTTAGTTAATTCATTTGAGGGTGTTTGGTTCTTGCTTTTGCTTTTGAATTAACTTGGCCTTTGCASTCTTGCAGATGTGTATTAAACTGATGCCATCTATGTTTCTTAGTCAGGGTTCCTGTTTACATTAATAGGATTTTTCCTAGTCAAGTAAATTAAAAACAGTGTTTGTTTTGGTTCTTTT